ACATGGTTAATGCCTGTTCATTGTTAACTAAAGCATTCCTTATGTAAGTTTCCATTGATATAATGTGATCTATTGTTGATCTACCTTTTCTTCCACCGCATTGGGTATTTGTTATTATGTTATTTTTGTTGAGATACCAGATTAATCTATTGTGAATTATTTTCTCGAAAATTTTGCATGTACAACTGGTTAAGGATATGGGTCTATAGCTATCTGGTGACTCTTTGGGCTTGTCTGGTTTGTTGAAGGGGAGCACTATAGCATGATGCCAGATTTTTGGAATTTTAGAGCCTGTCCATATGTAATTATATATTTCTAAGAGTTTTTCAGCTGCTATTGATGGGATGTTTTTTAATATGTCATATGTAATTTGGTCTTTACCAGGGGAGGAGTTCCGACTGTTTTTAATTTCACTTATCATTTCCTTGAAAATTATTGGTTGGTTATAAATTTTGCTGTTGTTTGATTTGAAGTCTAGGATGGTTTTTTCTTTGCTTTCTTTATGTACTATAAAAGGATTCCTATGGTTTTTTGCTAAAGATTTATTTTTGAAGTAAGTTGCCAAAATATTCGCTACTTCCTCATCTGTTTCGTATTCTTTGTTTTGGTCCTGTATGTGAGGTAGATGAATTTTTGTTTCCCTGTTTCTAATTCTGTTAACCATTCTCCATATGATCTTCATTGGAGTGTTGCTTTTCATACTATTTACAAACTTTTTCCAACAGTTTAATTTCTCCTGTCTTATAAATTTTTCTTGTCATCGCTTTTGCCCTTTTATATTCAATTAAATTGCTTGTGGTAGGACAATTTTTAAAAATTTTTACGTGTTTAAGTTTATTTTTGATTGCTGCTTTGCAATTTTCATTGAACCATGGATTTATTATTTTTTTATTTTTGTTTTTTTACTACTGGTATTGTTTGATGGATTAGTTGCATTATTGTTTTGGTCCACACTTCCAACGAGTCTTCGGTTGTGATCTCCCATGTTGTGGAGTGGTTTATACAAAACTCTTTGAATAGCTTCCAGTCCGTTTTTTTGAAATTTAGTTGTGTTCCTCTGTCTGATCTAAGTTTTTTTAATTTTGACGATAATTGGGAAATGATCGCTACCGTGCTGATCACTGAGAACGGACCAACCAATATCATCCTTTATTGATGATGAAGCCATTGTAAGGTCTATTGTAGAGAAAGAATTTGTCTGTTCATGAAAATGTGTGGGGCCAGTAGGCTTTATTAATTGGATGGATATCCCCTTGTGTTATTATTTCTTCAATGCACTTGCCCTGTAGGTTTGTACGTTTGTTCCCCCACAAATGACTGTGACCATTGAAATCTCCAATGAGAATCAGAGGTTTGGGAAGATCATTGAGGATCTTTAGAATCTCTTCTGTTCTTGTCAATGTGTTAGGTGGCAAATACATATTACAAATGGTTATGGTTTTGTTGGTTGTTATTTTTGTTACTATTATGTTTAAATTTTGATTAATTTTAATTTCTGATTGCGTTATTGTATTATTAATATATGTTGTTATTCCACCAGCTGAATTTGTTTGAGATGGTTCAGCTGCTTTTGAGTAGTTTACATATTGTTTGATATCTTTTTGTTTATTTGCATTTAGTTTTGTTTCTTGTAAGCATATTATTTGTGGTTGTTGTTCGGCTACTAATACCTGTAGTTCTAGGAAGTTGCTTTGTATTCCTCTGATATTCCACTGTAGTATTTTGATTTCTTCTTCTGTACTGTTGCTGTTATTATTTTTTGCTTTGGAGTTTTTATCCATGTTTGTTGTTATAAGTATGATTGAGTATTTTAGTTAGGTTATGGCATGCTTCTTCTGTTTCGTCCGTTGGGGGAAAAACATCATTATCGTATTCGTTGCTGCTTATTGTTTGTTGGCAGCATGTTTTATTTTGATATTTGTGCTAGTTGTCATTATTATTTTTATTAGTTGAGTCTTTATCTTCATTCTTTTTATAAACCTTGAGTGGCTCTGCCGGGATCAAATTGCAAGATGTGCTTTTGTCAGCCTTCTGAGGACAATTTTTGGTTATGGTTGCATATGTTTTTTGCTGAGTTGTTTTTTTTAATATTTGTTTTGCTTCCGGGATGGTGATTTTATTCATGATCTTGATTTTTATTATTTCTTTTTGCTCTTTGTATATTCGGCATGATTTGTCATAGGTCGTGTGGTTTTCTCTACAGTGATAACAATTTGTATTATTATTACATGGCTTTTCTCTAGTATGAGAGTGTTCTAATTCACCACAGTTACTACAGACAACTCTTTTATTGCTACATATATTTTTATGGTGTCCATATATTTGGCATTTGGTACATCTCATCGGATTTAGAATATACTCTCTCACTTCTAGTTTCTCATAGCAAATTACCATAGTTTATGGGATTTCATGTGTTTGAAAGGTTAGGATATAAGTGTTGGTTTTAATAAGTTGTTCATTTTTTTTAATGGTGATGCTTTTAACATCTACTACTCCTTGATTTTTTAGTTCTTCTTTTATTTCCTGTTCAGAACAGTTTTTTAATGATGCTGTTTTAATTACCCCCATTGAAAAATTTAAAGACCTATGAGGTGAACATTTTACATTTATGGTGCTAATTTTTGATATTGTCTGTTTAAAGACCTATGAGATGAACATTTTACATTTATGGTGCTAATTTTTTATATTGTCTGTATTTTTTCTCTTTGTTTTGCGTTTTTAACTTTTACTATTATTTTATTTCTTTCAATTTTTATATTATCTACGTCTCCTATTTGTGCATAAATCTCTTTTTGAACACGGAAACAAGTAAGTTCAGTTACGTCGTTGTCTTTTTCTGCTTCGATTACATAGAAGACTGGACTTACCTGAAATGTTTGTTCTTCATATGTTGGTTCAAGTGAAGAGACTCTTGCTCTTTTGGAGGTACCTTTTTTCTGGGAAGGCGACATTTCCCGGTGACACAAGGTCACCTTAGAATAGGCGACTCTTCTTTTTTTAAAGCAGTATTTATAACCGAAATTATTAAAATTATTTAACTTTAAAAATAAGTTTTTATATTATTACGTATTATTATTAGGAAATTATGCTTAATACAAGCAAACGATAATCATATTTATAATTTGAAACAAACAATTATTTACCACAACGCGGGCGATAATCGAACTTGTATACAAATAACCTCAGAATAATGAACAGAATAAAATTTTACCCTCCGAAAAATGCTTGAACATGATCTATAACGCCATCTGTCTGCCTCACGTGACGTACTGCAATGTTGTTTGGGCCAGTGCGTATCAAACGACCACCAACCCCGTCAAGATGCTGATGAAGAGGGCAATGAGGGTCATCACGCTGTCCAGGAAGCAAGCGCACACCAATCAACTATTAGTCGCCACCAACAATTTAAACTTTGACAAATTAAATCTTTATTTTGTGGCAAATTTTGTTTTCAAGCAACTTACAAATAGGCTCCCATCAATTTTTAATAATTATTTCATATTTAATCAAAGTTCTAGACAAGTTAAGTATTTATTACCAAATAAATCAAAGACAAATACTCTGTATTTGCATGTTGTATACAAGGGTCCTAGAATGTGGAATCAAATTTTGAAAGATGGTTTTTGTTATAAAAATTTGTCTGCAATCTTTAAAAAGAAATTAAAACTGTTTCTGATGTTGAATGACCAATGACCAACCGTAAATCAATATAGATATGGAGATCTATTTTTCAATTTTTATTTGCGCCTTAATTGCCATTGTTTAATTCACATTTCTGTTTAACTTTTAGAACAATTTCGTTCTATATATTGCTTAAATATATAGATAACAATGTAATGTCTATCCCGTTTTTTTCTGGATAGATACCAAACATTGTTATACATAAACCATGAACCATTGTACTAACACCTAACACTCTGGTTGCTTTAATGTTAACATGTTCTACCTGTTGTTTAAAACTCAGTCAATCATTATCCCTAGATACCGAATAAAAGGTTTGGATATTATTTCGTGATTCCCAACTGTCAGCCTAATAGTTTCTACTTGTTTCCTTCCGGTAACTAGTACTGCTTCAGTTTTATGTTTTGCTAACTCCAGGTTCACTGCATACATCCATTCACTAATCTTTGCAAAAATGATATTAAACGCTAGCTCTATTTCCTCCAGATGTTTTGCAACAAAAACCACAGCTATACCATCTGCATAAGCCACAAAACTGCAAAACTGACTTCCAACGGCAGTTTCAATTTTAGTAGGTTATTGTACATTACGTTCCATAGAAGAGGCCCCAAAACGGAACCTTGTGGTACCCCTCCCGTTACGTTGTATTTTTTTGGTCCTGCATTTGTATCATATTTTAATTTTCTCTGTGAGAAATAACTTACTACCATTTCCTGTAAATATACTGGTACGTTTAACTCATCAAGGGCACGCAGGATGCAATTCCAGTTGGCAGAGTTGAAAGCAATTTTGATGTCCAAGGTAGCCACCAAACAGTAAATCATTTTTCCTCCTTTCCATCATTTTCCTGCAATAGCATCTTTGGTTTTATTAACAACAAGATTCACTGTCTAAGGTAGCCATTTTTCTTACTACCATTTCCTGTAAATATACTGGTACGTTTAACTCATCAAGGGCACGCAGGATGCAATTCCAGTTGGCAGAGTTGAAAGCAATTTTGATGTCCAAGGTAGTCACCAAACAGTAAATCATTTTTCCTCCTTTCCATCTTTTTCCTGCAATAGCATCTCTGGCTTTATTAACAACAAGATTCACTGCATCAAGCGATGATCGACCTTTTCGGAAACCGAATTGATTGTCGGTAAGATGCGGATCCACAACTTCTTCAATCCTCTGAAGACTATTATTGATGTATTCTACTTCTTTCAATGGGTCTTTAGTTGGGAAGAAGATGTTAGTGTCATCTGCATATAGAAGGTGATTTGCATCAGTTGCATGTTGAAAATCGTTCATGAAGATTATGAATAGAAGAGGACCTAAAATTGATCATTGTGGCATCCCTGATCTTACGTTAAGTTTTGTTGAGGAGTGACTTTTTATTGCCACATACTGTTCTCTAAATAACTTTTGAACCATGCACTCACTTTTCCTCTTATTCCATGTGAATTTAATTTTTTAATCAGTGTATCGTGGTTGATGACGTCAAAGGCCTTTGAGAGGTCTATGAATACACCTACAGTTAGTATCTTTACGTTAAGATTATTCATAACATTTTGTACTAATTGCAGCACAGCTTGCTCAATTGAATGCTGTGCTCTGTAGCCATATTGATTTTCATTTAATAATTTATTTATTGACAGAAATGAGGTGACTCTGACAAAAATTATTTTTTCTAGTACTTTTGAAAGTGGAGAAAGTAGAGATATTGGTCAATAATTACTTGTCTCTAATTTGCTCCCCTTTTTGTGAATTGGAACTACTCTGGATGTTTTGAAGCATTGTGGAAATATTCCTTGGACAATGGAAAGATTGTAAATATGAGTGATTGGGATGAAAATTTCTGGGATGATTTTTTTAAGTAGATAATTACCTAAAGTATCATCTGACGTGCTTTTTTTGTTGCTTAAGTTTTGAACAATGTACATTACTTCTTCTTCATTGGTGGAGTTCATATACATTGATTTACAGATTGCACTATTTATTTTTAATTTATCTTCAGTAACTGTTTGATTTTCTAACAGCTTCTCTGTGACATTGATGAAGTATTCATTGAAAAGAATACTTATTTCCTCTGGGTCTTCGATGATTTTGTCGTCAACTTTTAGCTTATTAATATCATAAATGTTTTTTTTCTATTCATTATACCGTTTATTATTTCCCATTTTTGTTTGGAGCAACTTTTTGCCTCTTCAAATTTTTGTTAAAAATAATTTTTTTCTGCCTTTCTCTTTACTAATGTAAAGTAATTTCGAAACTTTTTATATTTTTCAACATTAGCGGAGTTTGGTGCGGCGACTGCTATTTTATACCGTCGATTCTGTATTTTTGATAATTTTATTATTTCATCAGATACCCATGCTTTTTTATATTTTTGTTTCTGCCACTGCAGAGGTGCGTATGTGTCAAGAGTTTTATTGAGTATATTATAGAAATTCAGGCATGCTGTATCTATATTATTCTCGTTGTTAACTAAATGCCAATTTTGAAGTGAGAGGGTTTTTTTTAATAAAGAAAATAGATGTTTTATTAATTTTTCTACATAAAATTTGGTCATCATTGAAAGCAGTTTTAAAATTTTCTACTATTGCATAAACTGGAAAATGGTCAGAAAAGTCTGAGACTATGACTCCACTTTCGCAATGTTTATATAGGTTCGTAAATATGTTGTCGAATGAATTGGCGTTACAAGTTACTCTTGTTGGTAAATTAATTAAAGGCGAGAAACAAAATAAAAATAGTAAATTTTGGAAGTCTTTAGAATCATTTGAACTTTTGTCCAATAAATTAACATTAAAGTCGCCCACTATAACAGTTTTGTCGGCGGGTTTGATGGCGTGTAAAATCAAATTGATTTTATTTAAAAAAGGCTCAAATTTATAATTGGGTGGGCGGTATATCGAGATAACATTAGCACACCCCTAGATGAAGCATGCCCCGATTCAATGTCCACACAGAGAACGTCGACATTTTCATCATCAAATGCACTGTTATCATTTACAACATGCTTGTCATGCTTTATGAACACACCAACACCTCCGCCTCGTTTGCTTTTTCTATTTTTATATACAAAATGGTGATTATTTAACTTAATTAAATCAACTGTTTCATTGTTCAACCACGTTTCTGATATTACAATAATTTTGAAAAAGTCGTCGAAATGTTTTAATAAGATTTCTAGATTTAATAATTTATGAAACAAACTTCGAGCATTCAGATGAATGATTGGTAGGTGATTGTTTTTCATTTTATTCTTCAATTTTATTATGTTAGATAATTCTTTTACAGTGTAATATTTTGATTCTTCGAGATTCTCTTCTATGAAGTTTTTATTCATTGCTATTTTTAGTTGAAACATTTGCCGACAGGTCATTGACAACATTTGCCGACAGATTATTGAAACACCATTCGCGGACGATGATTTGGTCTGGCTAGTTTTCTGCATTCATAAACTCAGCTGAGTCTGTTTCATAAATACAAACTCTGAATGCAGGGATTGTCTGTTGAACATCGATTTTGTCAGAGTTCGTGTTTTGTGTGTTGTTCGATGTTGTAGCATGCTTTGAGGTGCGATTAAAAATTGAGTTTTTGATTGCTGAGCAACGAAGTACCTCAATTTTCAATCCATTTATGTGCTCGCTTAACTCTTTTGCAGTGCATTGTTGATCCAATCGACCAACGTAAAAAACCTTCGCCTAACCTTTTTGGCGAAGGTTTCATCGCTTTCAAATATGTTTGTTTATTAGTTTGGGTGCCTATAACTGTTTTCATATTTGCAATGTTTGTGTTGTGTGTTTTTTTCTTTGTTTTCAACATGTTCATGTTCGTCACGTGTTGAACATTCGCCACGTGTTGAACATTCGCCACGTGTTGAACATTTGAGCTCTTTTCAATTTTACGTTTTACAATCTCTGACCAGTCAGATTGCTTGCTCGATTCGGTCTTGCAATCAGATTGCTGCTTTCTTTCTACTTTTGGGCTATTGTTAATAGCTGCATTATTTACGATTTCTCGAAAGATGTTTCTTTCTTCAATAAATAGTTCTTCTAATTTTTTTAACTTTTCGTCAAGAATTTTTTAAGCTTGGAATTTTAAAAATGTTGAGAGCAGCATACTGAGGCAATTTGCTCTCAATTTTGTTGCTCAGAATAGTTTTTATTGTCAGTATTAAATTACTAACCTTGTCCTTTTTAGAATTTCCAGAACTGTTTGGCTTTATTTTATCATCTTTTTCTAAATTTAATGAATCTAGATCGCGGGTAAGTATTTTTTTTGCTAATATCTTCACAATTATTGAAATCCATTATTTCGTAAATGAATTCCGCATCGTCAATTTTGTCAGAATTATTAAATAAATAACTTAATAACTCGTTAATGCAAACCGCTCGCGACATCGTACCGAGTATGTATGTATGTATGTTAAAACCAAATCATTGACGAATGACACCAAAAGCCAAGCGTCTGACTAAATTTGATTTTATTTGCTATAACGTCACTCAACCCCGTCGGCATTCAACTCTACATTTTCCAACACACAGACGCGCAAAAATCGCTGCAGGATGCACGAGATATTATTCATAGCGAAAAAATATTCCCTACTATCGCCTGACCTAATACTGATATTTTTACAAATTCGATTGAAAAGCCCGGAGATGTTATGGTCCATGGGGCCGAGGACCTCGATACAAATCGGTAAAAACTCCATCGAGGGGAGAGCTCCGGTGTACTTTTTGACCTGGTTGCAGCCAAACCGCTTTCTTTGCTAGTAAGCTGCAGTAGCGCTCAGCAAAGGTGCCCGGAACGGTAACGTCCCACGCCAAGCACCTGCCGGCTCTCCAAGGGATCAAGGTACACCCGTCAGGGCGCTTACCGTCGTGCGCCGCAATGCCCGACGGTTCCTTTAAAACCGGAATTGAGGCCTTGGAGAAAAGTCAGGGCTTGAGGAAAGCAACTTTGTGAATGTGCGTTTATATGCTTCCTCCAAAGTGTTGCCCTGGGAAAGGTCTGTTGGTTGGATTGGAGTCGGTGGAGTACAGTGTAGGCTACTAAATTGCCGAAAAAGGGCAGACTGTAGGTCAAGCGTGGTAGATGCGGAAGATTTATAAACAATTGGTGCAAGCTGAACCACGCTTAGTAACCCCAGTTCACCCAAATCGTACCGGCAGCTGAGCCTGAGACCAACCCTTGTCGGTAATATCGACGTTACAAATTGCTGAGAGGGCCACCCGCAGAGCACCCTCAAATTCGCCCAAAATGGCCGCATTAACAAAGTTGGATGTGCGCAAAAAATACATCAATTTCGGCAAACTGAGGGCGCCGCGGATGATTGTCAGCGCGTCGTGGACCGGGAGAAGAGAGACACGTTCGAGGGCAAATCTTAGCTCAAAACGTTTTTTATTAAAAAACCTGTCCTGATGATCGCCGGCCATCATTGGAGTGCCTAAAAAATTTAATGATGAATGGGGCACTGTGGGGACATTAGCCAGCACGTGTGGCATTTGAAACGTGTCATTTACAAGTAGTTCACATTTGTTTGTGTTTAATTCAAGACCAATGATGGAAGCGCCGACCCTCAGCGACAGGAAGTCGTCCGCTAAGATGTTACCCTCTGCGGCCAAGCTGACATCGTCCAGGTAGCCACAAACAAACGCCGAGGATGACTTCGTCAACAGCGGG